TTGAACTGACACATTCATGTTAAGATATGTACATGGCTGTGTAGAACGCCGCTCGTCACTTGGTGCCATAACTAGAAATTCTGCATTTGAGCAGAAGCAGTCATGTTTTTACTGTCAACCTTTTAAAGAACTGTTCTGGCAATGCAAGTCTCTGACTGACTTTACTTGTTTAGTCGCTTGTGATTTTTACTTTGGGGAGGGGAAGCTGATGACCACGGCTTTAAGAGCAGCCAGATGCTTTTGCTGGTATCCCTTTGCCATAAATGTAGAGTGCATTTGGCCACAACACATTCAGGTCTGTGATTTCTTTGCTTGCTCAGAATGATGGCTTTGTTTTTCCTATTCATCGCTCAGTGCCTGGCTCTGCCATGATCTTCCATCTTGGTTGGTGCCTGTATTGCCTGGTTTTCCATCCCTTGCATGATGTCCCTGATTTCTGCACATGAAAGCAGAACACGAGTGACAGACTATTGCAGGTACTTGTATCTCGGGAGTTAACCCTTCACTTCCTTATCTCAAACACAACCCTACACTACCTTATCACAGGCAGAACTTTAAGTATAACTAAATCGAAGTACAAAACCGTTTATATTGCAGATTGCTATTCCTTAGATGTGGTGGCTGTGTTAGTTTTACAATTGTAAGTACAGAAAATGGCTGTTCTTGCCAGAATTGCAGTGTCCACATCACTTGCTGCCAGATGACCTGGAAGTGTTGTCTGTCCTGTGTAAATAATGACCAGTCAGGTATGTTTTGAAGTCCATCCTGGGTGGAAACCATAGTTCTCTCCATAGATACAGTGGAGGTGTCAGTGTAGCCACCTGGGGGCAGGAGGTGTGGTGGCAGGATAGCCAGGGTAGAAAAGCCTGAAAAAAATCACTGCAAGTGTTAAGTACTCATGTCTAGTTGTCTGGAGCACTACCTGATCTGTTCCCACTGCTAGACCAGTCCCCATCGTCTTTGCTCCAGTGCTCCTAAGGACTGCATTAGATGTGAGGTTCTTGGACACTCCACAAGCTGGAGAGGGGAACTTTTATCGCAGGGGGTCATCGCTTCAGTCCCCTAGACATAAATGAGCATTTGTAGTAGTAAGGTCTGGGTGCTTTTTCTCCCCCTAATATATTCTCTGCATAAACACCTATCCCCTACTTACCTGTCAGCAATGCTCATCCCTGCCACTGGTCCCAAAGCGATCATCCTTTCCCCAAACTTCCTGGTAGCAGGGGTACTGATGGCCATAGGCTCCTTCTGCCAGCAAACTGTTGGGCAGTGAGATGGGTGTTGCCTGCCACAAAGCTGTGTCTATGGACGCACGCTGGCATGGGTGCCTTAATTGGCCGATGGAGGCACCCATGTAGGTGAAGAGCGCTGCGGGGACCCACTTGAAAGCAAGGAATTTAAAACGTTTAAAGAAACTGCCTCAGGCAAAGGTGAGCCTCATAGCAAATATTTAAAAAAGGAAGCTTTAATAACACTTAAACCCATGCAGTGCCGGGTTAGCCCCACTACAAGGAATATTTTTGGTTTGCCCGGAGATGAGCTTTAACTTCCATTCACACCAAGATGTTTGGAATTTCCACGTTTTATGCGCACAAAAATGTGCTTTTGTGTACGCATGTTTAAACGTGGAATGCGGCTACAATATCTGCTGTATTGCATAACTGAACATTCTTCAGTTTAGTTAAAGATCAAATAAACTTAGCAGCAGTGTATGGTACTCAGGCAAATGTGTCCTTGAATACTGCAGCACTTTGTGCCCCTAAAAAAAATGAAAAAAAAATATATTGTGTCCTGTGTATGGTAAAACATGGCGGTACAAGTGAGCTGTAGTGTATCATACATGAGATACTTTGTTTAACATTCCTTTTTATTAGTGTCCAGCCAAGGGTTTGACTTGCCTGGGCCCTTTCTGCTTGGTAAGCAAGGTATGTGAACAGCTACCTGAGTATTTATGAATCTAGAGTAGTGTTGACATGGCATTACTTTTCTGGTGGTGACCTCGGTTATACAACTTGTTCAACAGGAAGATGATCCAGGATGGGGTCATGATTCATCTTCTAAAGAAACTGGTTTGAGAAAAACATAGGCTATCATTGCAGGAATTGTCTGTGTAGGGTTCTGTTGTGGCAATCAAGGATGCTTAAAATAGTGACCTACTTTATGGCATTTCAAACGTCTTCCTCTAGAGCCTTTGTTTCTCAACTGCTGGGCTGTGACCCAAAAGTGGGTCGCGACCCCGTGTCACCCCATGCCTTCCACTTTTTTTAGGTGAAAGGCTCCGCACTCTCCCCCTAGCGCAGCACTGTTCTCAAGCCAGGTAGCCATTCAAAATATGCTTCCCGGTGCCAAGTGTCAGCTTGGGATGGGGCTTTGGCTGCGAGGGAGCTCCATCCATATGTGCATTGCTTACAGCTCCCTCATGTGCCCTATAGAGGTTCCTGGACAGGGCATGCAAGGGAGCTGTACCAGCAATGCACTTATGGATGGAACACAGCAGCCCACACTGGACCCCAGGCTGAGGATCCACTCCAGGTCTTGTATAGAAGGGAGACTGGGTGGATCTTAAAGGAATAAAAAATAAACATCTTTTGGGAGTGACACTGTGGTTGTGTCGGTCAGTGTTTGTAAGGGGCCCATTCACACTAGTGCAGTGCATTAATTGCACAGTCCCATGCAAAATCGCACCTACTGTGAATTCTGGTGTGGATGGTGTTGCATTGCTATTCATTTGAATGGCACCCCAAATGCACGACTTGCCCACCCCTCAGTCCGATCGCCCGCACTGGAATGTTCAGTACCACAGTGTCGTGCATTCCTGTGCTGTGCGACTTGGGTCATGACTTAATGACAAAGGACAAATGTGGGTCCTGAGGTTGCACAATCCCTTCTAATTGTCATGTGGTCTAATACATGAACAAAGCAGACCCCTTATGCTTGGTTCACACCTAGCATTACGTTTGCGCATGTTTTTGTTTTCCACGTTTGTCGTGCATGCCCATTGATGGCAGTGGGATCCTATACATGCGACAAACGTGGAAAAATGGTGAATGTAGCAAAATCTGTGACATGCGTTCCAAGTTTTTCTTCAGCACTTGGGATGCCATTAATTAGTAATGGCAATGCAAGCGTGTTTCACGTTTGTACGCTTTCCTGCAATGCCTGGGTTTGAACCGAGCCCAAGTGCTCTGTAACCCTCAATCTCCTGAATGTGCCCAGGATTCAATGTTCTTGCACTGATCATGATCCCGGGCAAAGCGTTTTCTTTGCAGTGCCCTTTCAAAGTGACAATCTCTGCTCCACAAACACAATGGAGTGCCCTGCAAAAGATCTTCTATTTGCCTCTGCAACGGTCTGTTCCTTTTCCAGCCCCTTCACTACTGCTTGCAAGCGCTTGACACTCCAAATGTTTTGAATGCTGAAGACCCTTACTAAGGCTGTAGCCCTAAAATGGAAGGACAGGTCATGTGGGCGGCTGGAGAGGCGAGTGTAACTGCTCTTCTCTTGCCGGGTGCCATAATCTTCACTGTGTGTCTATTGAAGGTTTTCTATTGAAGGTTTTCTGCTGTATCTACTGACTCTTCATGCTATTAGATGTTCTGCTCAGTGGTTATTTATTCCTCCTACTTTCCTCTTGTGCAGCTAATGGTGTTTGCTATGGTGCTAAAGTCCAGTGTCCATTGTGTGCCACCAGTGGTATTGATCCTCACTAGGTGGGACACAGCATAGCCTGGTATTTCAGTACACAACTGCCTTGCGGTTGGATACACTTTATAGTTGTCTGCTTCCAGTGGAGAAAAACCATAGGGAACAAGGTGGAAGACATGTACACATAGACATAACTGTCCCATCAGCCAGTGAGGATGTGGTCTTCAGTGGTGGTTAGTGGGACACGTAGGACTGTTACAAATGGTACAGTAAAAATTGCGATGGTGGAACTGAAACAGGTTTGGGGAAATGCCCATAATATTACTATATGTTAAATAGATGGTCTTGTCTTTTTTTTAATCTTATAAAATGGGAATCCCAGCAATATTCAATGCATTAAAAAGTACTATGCCATAAAAGCAAATATCCCTAAACATTTGCCTGGATATTGGTCTGAACATCCTTTAAAATAATTGCTAAGGTTTTAAATGGTGGGCTGTCATTCACTTCAGAAACCTCACCATGACAGGATGTTGTGCTGTTTGGTGTCGGGCTCACATGAGCCTACAGAAGGCTGATGCAATGTTCTCTGCAGAGCAACCTGAAACTGACTCGGGCCTTCTCGCTATCCTTTTTGCTGTGATGTCCTAGATAATCTAGGCTAAGTATAGCACTTGCAGGCAGAAAGCATTTTACCTTTTTATTTAAAAAGTGTCCTGTCAGGATGTCAAGACCTACAGTGTTAACATTTTCCCCAACCTGCAATACTCTTGGCGCTTGTTCACGCCAAGTGCAGAGCAGTTATCAAAAATGCATCCAATGTATTCCAATGGTATTTTGGGCTCTAGTTCACACCACGGCGTTCAGTTCCAGAGCATGTGGAAAAACTGCAGCATGCCCTATTTATTTATTTTTTTAACAGATGGAATGGATCAAAAACAGGGCAAAACACACTGCACTGTATGTGCAGAACCTCATGCAGATCTGGTCGGGATTTGGTGTGAACAAGCCATTTGGCCTTGTACCTACAGCCTCTTACAGGGTGACTTATGTCTTCTTGGCTTTGTAGGGCCTAGTTTAGAGACCCTGTCTAATTTGTATGTCCTGGCCCTGCTCCTCCACTCCTCACCTCCCTAACCTTTTTATATAGCTGGAATCCAGCCTAGAGATACTTTAAAGCCATAGTGTCCCGAGTACCTTACGGAGTACTGTATCTGATGTGTCTGCATC